TGACCAGCCTACCTGTCTTCTTTCACAGCTTCTGTGGTCTTTGGAACTGGCCTTTGCTCCCATCCATCCAAGCTAAGAGGCCAGGAAGCTCATGCTAGTAGTGGAGCTTCACTGAACACTAGGAAAAGGAGAGTGTATGTTTTGTTGTATTGCAATACTTGGGCTTGAACGGAGGCCTAAGCACTGTCTCTTAGCTTTTAGAGCTGGTGCTCTACCACTGAAGCCACAGTTTCACTTCTGGCTTTTTGTTGGTTCATTGGATATAAAAAAAAATCTCCTGGAGTTTCCAGCTTGGGCTGGCTTTGAACTTTGATCCTCAGACCTCAGTCTCCTGAGTAGCTAGGATTACAGATGTGAGTCACCAGTGCCCAATGAGAGTGTGCATTACCTGCTGTAGTGAATGTAGAGTTTGATGTAGGTTGAAATGTTGAGCAGTCATAAAGAACAACAGGTATCCATTATAATGCCACAGAACACAGATACATATTTCATCTAATATCAGGAAAAAGTAGTGAGTAATTGGGCACTGGGTTTCTCTATAGATCCTTTTTTGTTTTGTTTGCTTGTTTGCTTTTGTGCTGGTACTGGGTCTTGAACTCAATCTCCATTTCTCTCTTGTTTGGCTACTGCTCAAGTCTTGTGCTTTACCACCTGAAACATATCTCCACTTTCATATGTTTGCTGGTTAATTGGAGATAGTCTCACAGATTGGTTTGCTGAGGCTGGTTTTGAACTGTGATCCTTAGTTCTCAGCCTATTGAGTAGGTGGAATTAGAGGTATGAGCCGCGAGCTTTGTAGATCCTTCATAGCAGACTGTTGTACATTCTTTGAGTCTTCAGCACTTGAAGGTTTCCTAGAACATAGCAGGGCCTCAGGAAACGTTTATAGGATGAATTTATAACTGCTTATGGTTATTTTGTTTTGTGTTAGTGCTGTTCCAGGGCTTGAACTCGGGGCCTGGGTACTGTCCTTCAAGCTTTTTTACTCACTCAAGGCTGGTGCTCTATTACTTGAGCCATAGCTCCACTTTTGGATTTTTGGTGATTAATGGGAGATAGGAGCCTCATGGACTTTTCCTGCCTCAAATCTCAATCCTCAGATCATAGTCTCCTGAGAGGCTAGGATTACAGGCATGAGCCACCAGTGCCAGGTATTAGAACTGCTGGTTGAGTTGAGAAGCTTCTCCTCATCTTTGAGAGATCGATCCCAAGACGCCCAGTGGATGCCTACTTGTAGCCCCAAATTCTGCACATAGTATATTTATTCTCTGTGCATGCCTACATATACTTAATGTGTTCTCCACCTTACCTAAACATGTGTCACGTTCTGTAAGTTTTTCTGCTTGAGGTTGACAGCAGAGACAGCGTGCATTTCCTTCCTCCTTCACAATGTCACAGAAGATCCCTCCTTCCCATGCATCTTAGCAACTGCAGCATATACTACTTTTCTGGTTATCAAGTTAAGAGCTTCCAGTTTTTTCACTTAGACGCTGTACTGTATGACATCCACATTGCTCACGTCACTACTCCTGCACTTGGGTGTCATGAAGTAAAGTAACGGTTACCTGAACACACTTCATCCAACTCAGCAAGTTGATTGCTGAGTACCTCACAGGCAGTAACCAACCACACATGCGTGTTCAGCCACAGGGATGATAGACGTTCCGAGCAGGCTAGATTACATCACACTACTCGGAAAGGAGCAGAATTTAAAACCTACTTAAAAATTTTTAAATTGTTATTATAAAGGTGATGTACAGAGGGCTCACAGTTAAAGAGTACATTTCTTTTTTGGACAATGTCACCCCTTCCCTTGCTCTCTCCTAGTTTTTCCCTCCTGGATAGTTCATTTTCCACATAGTGTCTAGTGAGTACCATTGCTGCATTTGTTCACCCTTTGTCCCTCTATTTCTGGGTCTTCCTCCTTTCCTTCTCAAAGACAGATAAATGAACAAACCAGAGAAAAAGAAAACAAGCCAGTAACAAAGAAAAAAACTCCTGTTTCCATTTGTTGCAGTTCATTGTGATAAATATTATTTTATGTGATCAGATGCACATAAGCATCACACCTTTACGTTCCTCTTGTAAGAGTGTGCCTAGAGTCTTGTATACTTTATTTTATCCCATGATATTTTAGATCTATCTTCCACACATGGGAGAAAACATGCCGTTTGTCTCTCTGAGCTTGGCTCACCTCATTTAAAATGGTTTGTTCTAGGTCTATCCGTTCCCCTGTAAATGACATAATATTCTTTCTAATGGCTGTGTAAAATTCCATCGTGTATAGGTACTGCATTTTGGATTCACTCATCTATTGTGGGCATCTGGGCTGCTTGGCTATTGTGACTAGTGTGGCAATAAACATGGATGTGCAGGTGTCCTTATCATCTCTTGGCTCATGATGTTCAAGGTAGATGCTCTGTAGTGGTATCCATATTTAGTTTTTTGTTTTGTTTGTCAGTCGTAGGGCTTAAACTCGGCCTGGGCACTGTCTCTGAGCTCTTCAGCTCAAGGCTAGCACTCTGCCACTTGAGCCACAGCCTCACTTCTGGTTTTCTTATTGGAGATAAGTCTCATGGACTTTCTTGCCTGGGCTGGCTTTGAACCATGATCCTGAGATCTCACCCTCCTGAGTAGCTAGAATTACAGGCATGAGCCACCAGAGCCCAGCTCCATGTTTAGTTCTTTTAAGGAACTTCCAGACTGCTGTTGAAAGTTATTGTGCTAGGTTAATACCTCCTTTAAAAAGCAGCTGGGCCAGGTGCCCGTGGCTCACACCTACTCAAGAGGCTGAGATCTGAGGATCATAGTTCAAAGCCTGCCCAGGCAGGAAAGTCCATGGGACCCTTACCTCCAATTAATCAACAAGAACCCAGAAGTGGAGCTGTGACTCAAGAGGTAGAGCTCTAACCTTGGGCAAAAATGCTCAGGGACAGCCCCAGAGAAAACACACACACACGCACGCACGCACGCACGCACGCACACACACACACACACACACACACACACACACACCCTACCTCTCTCCTTCCTTCCCTCTCTCTCCCTCACTTCCCTCTCCTTCCTTCCCTCTCTCTGCCTCTCCCTCTTTCCCTCTCGCTTCTTCTCTCTCCCTCTCTCCTCTCCCTCTCTCTCCCTCTGCCTCTCCCTCTTTTTCCCCTCTCTCCTTCTTTCTCCCTCTCTCTCTCACACACATACACATATACATATATTTAGCTGGGTGCCAGTAACTTCTGCCTATAATCCCAGCTACTCAGGAGACTTTGCAGCATAGAAAGAAAAGTCTTTGAAACTCTTCTCCAATCAACCACTGAAAAGCTGGAAGTGGCGCTGTGGTTTAAGTGGTAGGGCTAGTACTTTGAGCAAAAGAAGCTCAGGGACAGTGCCCGGGCCCAAAGTTCAAACCTCAGAACCATCACAAAAACAAAACAAAAAAAAAAACCAACCAAAAAAACCCAAAACAAAGGAGGCCAAAATCTCCTTCAACCGTATTTAGAGACATTGGGGATGGTGGAACACTCATGGGAGCAGAGTAGGAAAGTGACACACAAAGCCGTCTGCTCTCTCTTCCAGCTCAGCATGTCCAGGCCCGTGGATTTGTCTCTGTTAAGGCAGGTAGTTTTAGCATTTGCTGGCTTTTTTCCGAGTTACTCTGGTCTATGCTCAAAGTGTAGCGAGCAGTTTCATGTGTTGCCTCTGGAAAACTCTTAGCACAATATCTGGCATCTTATTAGAACCATACTACATCCTATAAAGCAGTAGTTTTGTGTCTGACTCCTCTCCTAAGGAGTTTTTTTGCTTCAGGGCCTGGCTTCTTCCCCATACACCTCATAGCATCCTGTATCACTGTTACCGCGCTGTCCACATTGTGGCTCAGTCCTCCTCTGTCCCTTTACTGTGGATTCAGCATGAGAAGTGTTCCCTAAGAAAAGAGGCCTGACTGACTTTTCCTACCCTGTCACTATTGGAGTCATTGTTCAAACACCATCCCAGAATCCTTTGCAGTTGTGTGCAGTACAAGCATTGGATCCAGTTTATCAACTGTCAGTGGAAATGGGAATTCTAGTGTGGTTGAAACCCTGTCCTCAATGGGAATGGAACAAGGAAGCTAGTGAGTGTTCTCTGCTTAGTGGATGCACAACATGAAGCACAGAGGTTTTACTTCGCTTTCATGTGCCATCGAGTTGTTGATGGAGCCAGAATGAAAATGAAACCTAAGCAGTCTTATTTTTGAGATTGTGCCCTTAACTGCTATGGTGACATTTTCATTATTTTGTCTCACAGAGGAACATTTTTGATGATAAAGCATTTTCCAGCCTACTTCAGCAGCTCATGCCTGTACTCTTTGCTACTCAAGAGTTTGAGATCTGAGGATTGAGGTTGAGAGACAACTCTGGCAAAACAAATCATCCAGTTTCATGTCTCAACTCACCAAAAGCCAGAAGCAGAGGGCATGTCTTCAGTGATAGAGTACCAAGTAGAAGCAAAAAACAGCTGAGTGAACCTTTACACTGTCCTTTGGCTTCTTCCCTCAAGGCTGGCACTCTACCGTGAGCCTCTGTTCCACCTATGGCTAGCTTTGTTGGTGGGTAATTGGAGATAAGAGCCTCATGGTATTTCCTCATAGCTTCAAACCGCCACCCTCAGATGATTTCAGCCTCCTGAGTACGATTACAGGTGTGAACCACTGGCACCGGCCTGTCCCATAAGAGCCAAAAAAGACTTGGGGATTTTGCCAAAGCCAGAAACTTTTCTATACTGCCAATGTTTCCAAATGCCATCACGCAACTGGGAGCTCTCCTCAGAGCTCAGGGCTTCTAGAAAAGAGCCAGCACTCCCAGGTCATCAACAACATTGCTGCTTCTGTTCCATTGTGAGCACATGTATCTTTCTCATCAGGTCTAAACCAGTATGCTTGTATTATTTATGTATTTTTGTTTTCTTAAAGGCCTTTTCTGCCAAACTAAAAGACTTACATATATTCTAATATCTCTTGACAGAGAAAAAGACAAGCATATGAATCTAATCTTATCTGTCATGGCCTGCAGCTAGAAGCAACCAGATCGGTAAGTGTTGGTCCCTTTGCAATCCCCCTTTGAACATTGTTTTGGGGGAACTGGCAAGTTACTTGGGATTCAGAAAACAGTGGATGAAGAGGAGACTCAATCAGCATCTGTGCTGTGTAGAATGTGTTACTTTATCTGATCAAAGCCAACAGATGCTTTTTTTTTATAGCCAAAGAGTTTACTAATTAATGCACTATCTGGTTAATTTTTTTCCTTTAAAATTTTTCAAAGTATTTTCTTTCCTAAATTAGTTCATGGTAAAAATTAGAAAATAGAAGAAATAAGGAAAACTTAAAATGATCCGAACCTTAAGTGCATACAAATAACCTTGTAGCCCTTCTATTTTTATATCTTTAGGAAGAGATAAAGACATAGTTAAGTCTATATTTATACATAAAGATACATCTTTGTATCTTTATCTCTTTTTATATCATTAGGTATAAACATAATCCCTTCACAAAGGGGAATTATTTTTATATCTTTAGATATATGCCTTTTCCATTCAGAAAGATCAAATTGGTATCACAATTTTCTAATTTTCTATTTTCACATAATATATAGTAAATGCCCCTTTATATCAATAAATAAAATTCTTTGACATTTTAATGGCCACAGAACATAATGAGTAGATATTCAATAAATTCAGCAGTCTGATTTAGGTTGAGAAAATTAAAAATTTTTCATTAGTGTAGCATTGCCATGAATATTCTAGTGTTGTTATTTTAAGTCACTAATTTGAAAGATGTGATGGACAAATTAACAAGTTTAATTTTCTCATTTAAAATATTAGACAATGAAAGAACTGCGATCATTTGAATTACTGTCTTAATAGTTCAAACTAAGAAATTCTCTTAAAAAAATTTAGGATGTTTTTCAGATCTGATGTACCCTCACTATTACTGGTATCTTTGTGCATGTGTTTGATTCTTTCTCTTTTTGTGCCAGTAACTGGGGCTTAAACTCAGTGCCTGGGCCCTGTCTCTTAGCTTTTTCACTGAAAACTGGTTCTTTACCAATTGAGCCTCAGCTCTACTGCCAGCTTTTTACTGGTTTATTGGAGATAAGAGTCTCATGGATTTTCCTGCTTGGTCTGGGTTCAAATTGTGATCCTCAGAACTCAGCCTCCTGAGCAGCTAGGATTACATGCATGAGCCATTAAGGCCAGCTTATGTTTTTATTGGTTTTGTTGATGGTGGTAGTTTTTCAAAAAACTGCCTGCACATAAAACAATCAGTTGGAAAATTGAGGACAAGGTAGGTTTGTTTCTCTGATTTGTTTGTTTATTCTTTCCATATAGGTTTCAGATGACAAGCTTATATTCGTAAAAGTACACGCACCTTGGGACGTGTTGTGTACATACGCTGAGATAATGCACATCAAGTTACCTCTGAAACCCAATGACCTGAAAATCCGCTCCTCGGCCTTCGGCACCCTCAACTGGTTCACCAAAGTCCTCAGAGTGGATGAAAGTGTCATCAAGCCAGAGCAAGAATTCTTCACCGCCCCCTTTGAGAAGAACCGGCTCAATGATTTCTACATTCTTGATAAAGATTCTTTCTTCAATCCAGCCACTAGGAGCCGCATTGTAAGTTTAAATACATTGCCTTTCCTGCTCAAGGCTGGAACTCTCCCACTTGAGCCAGGCCTCTACTTTCCAACTTATTACCGGTCAATTGGAGATAAGAGTCTCTCAGATTTGTCTGGCCAGGTTGGCTTTGAACCATGATCCTCAGATTTCAGCAAGAATTGTTTTTAATGCCTACCAATGACCATTCTACAGTGACGTTGAATTCTGTATAACCCCATACTCTTTAATTTTCAATCTAGGTTTACTTCATCCTCTCCCGGGTCACCTATCAAGTGGTGAATAATGTCAACAAGTTTGGGATTAACAGACTTGTCAGCTCTGGAATCTACAAGGCTGCCTTCCCCCTCCATGATGTAAGTCCAGAGGCCTGGGGCTGGGAAGGTAGCTCAGTGGTAGAGCGCTTGCCTCACATGCATGAGGCCCTGGGTTCGATTCCTCAGCACCACATAAGCAGAAAAAGTTGGAAGTGGTGCTGTGGCTCAAGTGGTAGGGTGCTAGCCTTGAGCTGAAAAGCTGAGGGACAGCGCCCAGGCCCAGAGTTCAAGCCCCACAATGGGCAAAAAACAAAAACAAAAAAACCAAATGAAGAGACCTTGTGCTGACCAGGGGAGAGGCCAGCCAGTGACTGGCTTTCTTGACCTCCTGTCTCTCCCTCACTATTAAAAGATACTGAAAGATTACAGGCTCCTCAGGGTCATAAAGAACCCAATCTTCTTTAGTAATGGGATCTATGCCAGTAGTTAAGATGATTAAACGAACCCGTGAACCCATGTCTCCAGTGCTGGTGGCTACGCCTGTAATCCTAGCTACTCAGGAGGCTGAGATCTGAGGATCATGGTTCAAAGCCAGCCTGGGAAGAATAATCTATGTGAGACTCTTAGTTCCAATTGAGCAACAAAAAGCCAGAAGTAGAAGTGTGGCTCAAGTGGTAGAGTGCCAAACTTGAGTGAAAAGAGCCAAGTGAGAGGGGGGAGGGGGGA